TGGAACAGGTGTGACTGAAACGTGTCAAAAGCAGACTGCAGACGTTCAAATGCAAGGGCAGCAGTGCGAGCACAACAGTATAGATCAGTATCATCTGCATAAAGATGTACAGAGGCATCAATATTTTGATGCATATCATTTATATAAATTGTAAAAAGGGTGGGTCCCAAGAACGAACCTTGAGGAACGCCTCTGGGCACATGAAGAAAGTTTGAGGAGAGACTGCTGAATTGTACAAATTGCTTGCCATTTGAAAGATAGTTTGAAAACCAAAAAACAGCTTGGTCAGACAGGCCTATATGGGGTAACTTCTGGCATAGAATGCCATGGTCCACAGTATGAAATGCCTTGGATAAGTCTATAAAAAGGGCAGCACCAGAGTTCCCGTTAGCCGGTAATTACCGGACTACGACCGGTAAAATATGCTGAAGACCGGCAAATCTAAATCTCTCCGGTCAAAGTGTCCGTTCAAAATAATTTCCGTTTAGTGCAATGCCGCATCAGTTGCGCAACTTGCGCCACTTATGTGACAGACAAAAGAGTATGTGACAGACAATAATAGTCCATTCTAATGTCTAACACTTAATTTGGAGAAAGAGATGTCCTGTATGGGTTGATTGTGCGTTGATCTGTTGGTAATGCCTCGGGGTTCCGGTGGCCATGTAAACAAATGCATAATGCTGCGCTATACTTTATGGCCTCGCCTGGTTGCATAGCGACGCTTATTGTTTAGGTGACTTTTAATAAGCAGGTAGTCTTATCATTAGCTAGAACTAGATCTGATCGATATGGCAACCCAGTCGCATGGCATTTCGTGTTCACCAACACGATTTTCCCCTTTTTTTCGTGTTACACAGCACGATTTTAAAAGCAATGTATTTCTACTGGTAATGTGTTTCGTGCCTGCAGCACGTCTTTTTCTCCGGTCGGGTCGTGGAAGACCGGAAGCTGTGTGGTTCATAAAAACATATTCTTACTCAATATCAAGCCACAATTATTGCTTTTATTTTAAATCGTATAATGTCGGACTTTTGTTACCGTCTGTGAGGAAAATATATGGGGCTCAGAGCCTCAGAATACTGAAATCTGTATTTTAAAATATTTGTTTCCTTCTAATTTGTTATTCTTTTCAAAATAACACTGTTATTTACTCACCAATAACACACAATTATCCTTGCTTTTATTTATTGGTTTAATTCCATAATCTCTGGCTTTTTTGGTGTCCGTCAGGAACTGAATTTCAAAATAAAAATAACCGGAAACAGACGTAGGCCTATAAGGGACATTTCGAGCATCATTGCGATTGTCAACATTTCTGAGTTTAGGATGGCCGAAGACACTACACTACCCATAATCCCCAGCTATCGTTGGGATGTTGGAGTTGCAGTGCGCCAAGGTTACGCCGAGCGTCAAACAGCTGTTTGAAATGGAATGAAACCACGCCAGACTATCCAAAACTGGACTCGAACGCCCCCCCAGAACTACACATGCTGGCTATTGTGTTTCGCAAAATGTTCTATGGGACGTCTCTACTGAACGTTTTCGTTTTTCCCACAATTAGAAGATGCCAGTATTAAACACATTGGTGTTATCAAATGTAAAACATATCATTAATAAATGGGTGAAAATCGCTTGTGTCCATAATGCACAGCATTAATACCCACATGACAGCTCATTGTTACTTTGTAATTCTACTCCACTACAATTCAGAGGTTAACCTGGTATTTTTACTCCACTGCATTTATTTGAGTTACTTTGCAGATTCTGATTAATTATGTGAAATATAAACAACCCTTAAATCAGACTTTAGTTACACCTGAGTAAAATTCAGGTAAGGTGATTGTCAAGTGCCAACAATCAGGAGAGATATTTGATAGTTGGTGCTTGAGAAGACTAAACATGTATCTGCAATTGACATGAATGGAAACGAGTAATAAAGTGTATTCATTACTCGTTATTCTCTACTAATAGTTAATTAAAGACTGTATATTATGGCTATTTTGCACATCCCTTTCAAGATTTCAAGATTTTCAAAGGTTTATTCATATACACAACTACGGTGTAGTTATGCAATGAATGAAAAACTTGGGTCACAGGTTCCTCAACAGTGCATTACAAGACATCTATCAATATGTGTGTACCTCCACCATTAAACTGTCATATTCTGCACATTTCTTATTCTATCTATCTACATAAGAGTATAATTCATATGTATAATATCAGTTAAAATAAGTGCTTCAACATAGTTAACATTGCAGGAAAGCAATATATTAGACGTTAAGTACTTTGTCAGGCTTAATATTTATCTGTAGATAGATACCCCCAAAGTTTTTTTCTTATTTAAAAGAAGACCTTAATCTGTTATTTAATATTTAAATAAAGGTTAATTCGTGTTTCTGTTTTGCACCTCCTTCTATTAATATCTTTGTACATCCTGCACTAAACTGTTTTATTGTAGAGATCACTTATAGTATCTTCTTGATTTTTTATATTCTATATTTCTATCACAGACCTTCTACTTTCCCCCTATGAAAGTATGTACTCTTAATATTTTTGTAATCAAATATAACACATAAAAACAATAATTCAATAATGTGCTTTAACCACTAGGAGGTGCACACAAGGACACACAGCCATAATAACTTTTTTATTATATTATTAGTGCAGGACACTTATGTATGTACAACATCTGAAGATGTGTAGTTTTATTCATGCTTTCACATAATTTTACAGCATATTGCTATACTATTTCAGACTCAGTATTTACATTCTTACATTCAAAGAAAATCAGTAATATCTTTAAAAACTACAAGTCCTTTTATATCAGCTGTGCACCGTTATGGTGTAAATATAACCTATCTATGAATTAGATCAAATGTAAAAGTCAGCCGAAATAGTGTTGATACTGCAAGGAGACTTATTGTGTGAAGAGAAATTGAAGATGTTGTTTAATTGTTGATATATTTACGATCCACGTCAAGTATTCAGTTTCGGCGGCATTTCTTCCGTTTTTCCAAAGGTCTTCTCATCAGGGCTCTATAAATAAAAAACTACGGCAGATCTGTAATATGTAATGCAGCCGAACCGTGTATTACAATGCCGTTATGTGATGACTTTCAAAGAGAAAAGCAAGAGCACTCGGAATAAAGTATTATTTTCCGGATTTCATATAATATGAACACCAAATCCCATTATGCATTGCGGCTAACACATCCAATCAGCGAGCTTAAACCATAGCTGAGGATCTTGGGCAATCGCTCAAAATGCCTACGTCTGTTTCCGGTTATTTTTATTTTGAAATTCAGTTCCTGACAGACGCCAAAAAAGCCCGAGATTATGGAATTAAACCAATAAATGGATAATTGTGTGTTATTGGTGAGTAAAAAACAGTGTGTTATTTTGAAAAGAATAACAAATTAGAAGGAAAACAATATTTAAAAAAATACAGATTTCAGTATTCTGAGGCTCTGAGCCCCATTTATTTTCTTCACAGACAGCAACAAAAGTCCGAAATTATACGATTTAAAATAAAAGCAATAACTGGCTTGATATTGAAGAACATGTTTTTATGAACCACACAGCTTCCGGTCTTCCACGACCCGACCGTAGAAAAATACGTGCTGCAGGCACGAAACACATCACCAGTAGAAATACATTGCTTTTAAAATCGTGCTGTGGAACACGAAAAAAAGGGGAAAATCGTGTTGGTGAACACGAATCAATAGATTAAAAATCGTGTTGGTGAACACGAAAGTAAACGCGAGTAAAGTCTAAACTGGCGGGAGAGAGAGATCAGCTGCTGCTGACGAGTCGACACACAGCTCTGCATAATCACCTGTAGCGGTGAGCGGAACAAAACACACACTTCAGGTTAGAATAACACACGTGTAGCTATTTTAATGACCTCTCAAACTACCTAAACTAGTTATAGATAAGTTTAGTTTTACTGTCGGGTCACTCATTACTGATCCGCGAGCTGCATGATACTGACAGGCTGCCAGGAGAAGGAGAGAGAGCTCCGTTTATTATTCCCGTGTTATTATAAGTTACTGTAAACTTTTGAATAGTTAAACTACTATGATTAGTTTGTTTAATATCAAATCATATCAATTTGTTTTAAAGCACAATAAATAACAAAGAAGACCTTTGACCGGCACTTTTCTCATTTTGTCCGGAAGATTTAAACTTTAACGGACATGTTGACTGCGAAAAATATTCTAACGGGAACTCTGGGCAGCACAGTAGCTCTTTGCGTCCAAGCCTTCAATAATGTCATTCACTACTTTCAAAGCAGCCGTTACTGTACTGTGCTGCTTCCTAAAGCCTGACAGGTGAGGAGATAGAATGTTGTTCAAGCTTAAATATTCTTTGATTTGATCATTCACCAGCCTTTCAAGTACTTTAGCTAAAATAGAGAGGTTGGAAATTGGTCTGTAATTATTCATCAGCATGGGATCAACACCTTTCAATAAGGGGAGAACATTTGCAGTTTTCCAAACATCTGGAATGACATTGTTTGTTATAGAAAGATTAAAAACATGACACACTGGTTGGGCTATAATATCTGCAGCTAGACGTAAGAAACAAGGGGGGAGATTGTCTGGGCCTGCTGATTTATTGGGGTCTAGGCCCTTTAGAGCCTTACAAACCAGACAGAGAAGGGGTCAAAGGAGAAAGTGCGGCTACTGGAAAAAGTTATGTAACATCTAATGTAAACATGAATGGACCAAGGATAGACCTCTGTGGAACCTCTTTCTGATGGTAAAATGGCCTGAATGAGTACAGTCAGCAACGGTAATAGTTTATAGTTCAAAGCAACACTCTATCCAGCTTATATGAGACTAAGGGCTCTATGCACACTTTTAGAAATCAGTAGGCTTTAGCTTGTTGTTAAATTACCACATATGTATAACATTATCAAATTTAAGTGACTGTTGTGCCTTGTTCTTTAGTGAGCTTTGTGTGTGTGTTTGCTGTGGAAAAAAATACAAGTTGACAACTTAAGTGAACATTTGAATATTATTGAGACAATTGAACAACTTTTAAAATCCACACAACATCTTTTAACAGCGAGTTGTGTCAAACAGTCCACCTCACTCTTTCTGAAGAGTCTCAGTGCACTAGTGAAGGTGTTTTCTGAAACTCTTCACAGTGAGCACATACGTCAGGTTTTTCTCCAGTGTGGGTAGGCTGGTGGAGCTTCACACTGTATGAGTCACTGAACTCTTTCTTCCACTGGTCAAAGGAGTGGATTCGCTGGTGGCGCTTCAATGAGCGTGAGTCCTTGAAACTTTTCTCACACTGGTCACAGGAGTAGGGTTTTTCTCCAGTGTGGGTTCGCTGGTGGACCTTAAAATGGCCTGACTGGCTAAAGCTCTTCCCACACTGGTCACAGGTGAAAGGCTTTTCTCCAGTGTGGATTATCTGGTGGCGCTTCAATGAGCGTGAGTCCGTGAAACTTTTCTCACACTGGTCACAGGTGAAAGGATTTTCTCCCATGTGGGTTCGCTTGTGAATCTTCAAATGGCCTGACTGGCTAAAGCTCTTCCCACACTGGTCACAGGTGAAAGGCTTTTCTCCAGTGTGGATTATCTGGTGGCGCTTCAATGAGCGTGAGTCCGTGAAACTTTTCTCACACTGGTCACAGGTGAAAGGATTTTCTCCAGTGTGGGTTCGCTGGTGGATCTTCAATGAGTCTGACCTGCTAAAACTTTTCTCACACTGGTCACAGGTGAAAGGTTTTTCTCCAGTGTGGGTTCGCTGGTGGACCTTAAAATGGCTTGAGTGGCTAAAGCTCTTCTCACACTGGTCGCAGGAGTAGGGTTTTTCTCCAGTGTGGGTTCGCAGGTGAACCTTCAAATCGGCTGACTGGATAAAGCTCTTCTCACACTGGTCACAGGTGAAAGGTTTTTCTCCAGTGTGGGTACGTTTGTGGCGCTTCAATATCCCTGAACTCCAGAAACTCTTCTCACACTGTTCACAGGTGAAAGGTTTTTCTCCTGTGTGGGTTTGCTGGTGGACCTTAAAATTGCTTGAGATACTAAAGCTCTTCTCACACTGTTCACAGGTGAAAGGTTTTTCTCCAGTGTGGATTCTCTGGTGGACCTTCAATGAGTCTGAATGGCTAAATCTCTTCTCACACTGGTCACAGGTGAAAGGTTTTTCTCCAGTGTGGGTACGTTTGTGGATCTTCAAATTCCCTGAACCCCAGAAACTCTTCTCACACTGGTCACAGGTGTGTGGTTTTCCTATCGTGGCTGTAGACTGATGTTGATCCAGCTGTTCTCTGATGATACTCTTCTCCCCATCATCATAAAGTCTATCTGGGTTTTTGCAGGTCTCTTCCTATAAAACAAAACAACAAATCAACAGAGAGTAATATTAGAGCAGGGGTTCCCAAACTTTGCCATGCCAAGGACCCCCATATAGCATTATCCTCTGGCGGGGACCCCCTTGTTGCCATTTTTTTGAATTACTTTATGATGGAAAATATGACAAATTAATCATACATCTTAATACATTTTCTTAATATATATTTGTATTAATAATTAGATATTCTTCAAATCTTTTGTTTGTCATTCATTACATTCATTGTGTCTTCTGTTGTACACATTCTTAACACAATATTAAATCGTAATATCAACAGTAAACATATTTTTAAAGCATTTTTAAAGTGATTTCTTTCTTTATAATATTATATAATTTTGAACAGTAACATGAACAATTAACATATATTTGTTAGCATTTTTTAAAGCTATTTATACCTTTTCAATATTATATATAATATTCAACAGTAATATTAACAATTAAAACTGCGGTCGCACATGTGCGCGCAGTGATGAGCGGGCCCTCGCGTCCGTGCGCCTGTCGGGGAGGGCAAATGGTCATCCCGGCGTCAAGCAGACGCGCGCGAGTCCTCGGAAATGAGCCTTTTGTCATTTCTCTAATTTTCGCGTCCCAGACTCCCAGGTCCTCCGGCAGCGACCCGGAAACGGATGTCGGTGCGCCGTTTCGAAGGAAAACAAATTTCTCTAAAGGTTCGTCGAGGATCGATTTTCGAGGAGGCTGTCTGGAGGTGCCGTAACCGAGGATACACTGATTTATAGGAGAGAGGAGTCTCTCTGGAGGAGCTATAACCGAGGGTACACTGAAGTATTCTCCGGAGACTATTTCAGCCAAAAGTGATAATATATGTAACAGGCCTACATTTCAAACTTTATTTGTAGGCTTTAGGAGATATCTACAAATAAACAGCTCCCCGTTTGAGCGAAGGACTGTTCCTTCTCAATGTAATATGACATTGGATATGCGCTTAAATTGTCCTGGATTGAAATTTTTACGAACATTTCCCTAGGAGGAGTTTGCAAAAATGTGCTTAAAATGCATGAAAAACGCACATATTTGAAAATTGCCGAGTTTTTGGGGGGCGGGACTAATGGAAGGCAATTTGAAATATGTCCAGATTCATATGAGCAATGTGTATACCGCGTTTCGTGAATATTGCAAACCTTTATGCGAGTACTTTGGAGTAATTTGTGGCATGTAAATCGTCAAAAATGGTGTATTCGCTGTTAGCTTACGACCTCCCCGATTGAGCTAGCAACTATTTTCTTCGCAATTTAGCATCACATTGGATATGGACTGAACTTGTCCTGGATTGGAATTTTTTCGATCATTTCCCTAGGAGGAGTTTTCGAAAATGTGCATAAAATGCATGAAAAATGCACATTTTCAAAATGGCCGACTTTCTCGGGGGCGGGGCTAATGGAAGGCAATTTGAAATATGTCCGCAATCATAAGAGCAATGTGTATACAGCGTTTCGTGAATATCGGAAAAACTATATGCGAGTAGTTTGGAGTAATTTGCGACATGTAAATTGTCAAAAATGGTGTATTCGCTGTTAGCTGACAACCTCCACGATTGAGCTATCAAAACATTTCTTCGCAATTTAGCATTATATTGGATAGGGGCTGAACGTGTCCTGGATTGGAATTGTTCCGATCATTCCCCTAGGAGGAGTTCGCAAGAATGTGCTTAAAATGCATGAAAAACGCACATTTTTCAAAATGGCCGACTTCCTAGGGGGCGGGGCTAATGGAAGGCAATTTGAAATATGTGTGCAATCATAATAGCAATATGTATACAGCGTTTCGTGAATATCGGAAAAACTATATGCGAGCAGTTTGGAGCAATTTGCGCCATGTTTTTTCAAAATGGCCGACTTCCTGGGGGCTAATGGAAGCTATTTACAAATATGGTAACTCCATGAGGAATGTCTGTGCCAAAATTCGTTTAGTTCTGAGAAACTATATGTGACTACCACACAATAGGGGGCGCTAGTGAGCAGTTTTTTTGAAAAATTACGTTTTGTTTTTTACATTCTCGAAATGTAAACTTTGTCCAAGTTTTGCGTTCCGAAGCACATTGTCATAAAAAAAAGTACAGGCCACGCCCACATTTGTCACACTTTAAATATAAGTTCATACTCATCCCCAGAGTATGTCTAAAAAAATAAAATGTCATCCATCAGTTCATGGGTTATACATTTGTCATGTTTTTGGCGCCCTCTATAGTCCAAAATTAAAATAACTTGTTGTGCCTATTCCCCAATACAGACTGAACCTTACCACCAAAATGTGTGTTTTTTTGGTACATTGTTGATGAGTTATGAGCATTTCTATCTAAGCCCCGCCTTTTTGCGAACACGTTGAGAGTAATGACGGCCACATGTATCGACTGAACATGCTGATTTCCTACGATAATGTGTCTGGCCCTCCAGCGATGCTGTATACTGAGTTTGGTGTTGAAAAACAAACATTTGAAATTTAAAGAGCCTATGACAGCATCCCAACAACTGTTGTGCAATGAAATATTGGGCTACTAGTAATCTCGAACTGTCAGTTTAAAAAAGAACTTGCGATACCGTTCCAATAAATATCAATAATTTCGAACATCGCGGGGAAATTCCTTTGACTCATTTTGAAGTTTTGGGGGAAGCCGCAAGTGACGTCAATGCGGGAACGCTTCACTGTGCGGCGAGAGAGCCAAACACGGACAAAGTGTGTTGTCATGCGTAGAAATTGTGAATTACTGAGTTTAGGCATGTTAATAACATTTTAATGAAGTTGACTACAGTATATTCATATTTGTCAGTGCTTTCATGTTAATTCGGCGAACATAAACATTAATGATCGTGGTGAAGATGATGATTACATTAGGATTACAAATCGGTATTGAGAGCTACTGAATTTCCTCCCGTAGGATGTGATATAAAAACAAATCGATTATTTTTGTAGTTGGAAACTCAAGTGGATGAAACTACATTTATTAGTGCTTTCATGTCAATTCGGCGAACATATGATAGATTAAATGATCGTGAGAATGATGATTTAAAAATCGTTTGTTTGAGCCGGTCTGCATTTCCTGATGAGAAAACAAACCGATGCTTTTTGTAGTTGTAGTACACCAACATGGATTAAACGTGTGTTTTTTTACCACAATGTTGGGGAAATTAATGGATAAAATGCACGTATTATTATTAGGGCCCGAGCACGGAGCGCTAGGACCCAACGGCGTCCTAGCACGAAATGCGAGGCACCTATTGTTATTGTGGAATTATTATTATAGTGCTGGCGTTTCCTCTTTTTGAGGGTCTTTAGGATGCTTAAAAAGTTGTATAATTTTGCACGGACGCCAGGACCGGTAAACAATTCAATATTCTGGAGTCAATGGGTTAAATAATCCAACGTGCTCGCTTGCGCCACCTATGAAAAACCCATTTAGGAATAAATGTACAAAGTCGCACCGTAACTCCAAATGACTTGAAATTTTGCACACATATCCGGGTGGACCTGCTCTACAAATAATCCTCTTGGAACCCTAAGCTAAATTAAATTTAAATTAGCATAATGTTCAAAACAGTTAAATATTCACTTAAATTTCAATTTTCAGTTTTTCAACACCAAACTTAGTGTACAGCATCCGTGGAGGGTCAGACACATTACCCTAGGACAGGGGTGGGGAACCTCCGGCCCCCGGGCCGTATACGGCCCGCGAGACAATTTGATACGGCCCTCGAGGTAACTCACGCAAAAAAGATTTTTTTTTTTTTTAAATCTAGACCGCAAAATAATTAAACAAGCGAGTGCCTGTTTTTCCTGGCCAAGGTCAGGGTCCTTGAACACAACACGAGCCTAACGTGTCATCACGTGGTATGTGTCTCGTCCGACAGGGGTTTAGAGCAAGCGGCAAACTGTGGGGTAGAGACGGGAAGCCAATACGGAAGTGCCACACACTGCAGTTCATACATGGGCCGCTAGGGACTGGCTGCAGAAAGGAGCAATTTCCATTGACCCCCATGTTAAAATGCCCAACTTTACAGCAGAAAAAAACATGTTTCTACCCATGGATGCAATAAATATTATTATCGATATAGTTAGATTCCACCTTCATGATTATGAATCTGTGAGTGAATTGTTTTCTAACACGACCCTTTTATTTATATTAGGTCTTAAAGTTTTTGCATAAATTAGGGCGTGGTCACTTTGATGGACACGTACATGCCTCACTGTCAGCTAACAGCAACTTGTCCACTCTGCTAGGCTACAACCATAGAGGCTACAACGTTAGTTAGTCATAGTACTGTACTTGACCCTTTAGCTTTCGCCGTGTTCGTGGTGATTGTGCCTTTTAGGGAATATTGTTACAAATACCAGACAATTAAAATGTTGTGCTGTGCGCTTGAATGTACTAACAGAACTTCCAAGAAGTCTAAAATGATAATATTATACATGTTAACCCCGTTCGCAGGTGTTTCTGTGCTTGGTAGCTTAGCTTGTTACTTATTAGCCAGCTAAGGACGTAACCCTTTATGCATACATATACATTTTAGTTTATGATTCAGCCTTGGGTAAGACTTTTATAGTCTATGGCTAGACGCTTATAATGCTAAACGGGAGCAAATGTTAATAGGGGACCCGATTATCCCAGTGGTGGCCGCCGGAGCTAACGGAGCCGCAAGGGGCTAGCTCCAGCCGGCGTCCCGGAGCTAGCCCACTGCGGCTCCATTAGGTCCGGGCGGTGGAGTCCGTCTTTTCTCAACGTGTGAATGACAAGCATTAAGAATAACAAAATATAGCTAATTCTCTTGCAGATTGTCTCATTTGATTATGAATGTAACGTTTATATAGGGGTACTACACTGTTAGCAGTAACTTGGTATGCATGTATTTCATGTTAGCTTAGCTTCTTAGCCTGAGCTAGCTCTGTTAACTTCCAGGTCGGAGGCAGCTGGTCCCGCCTCGGCTCCGCCTCTTTGCCCTTATTTGGAGCAGGCGGGATTAGAC